GATAATGTTTGGTTGCAATGTTCACATCCCTTGTATCTCTTCCAAGGACCATGAAGTAAAACCCTTAGCTAAAGCTGAATGGGCTTTTCATGTCTTTTTCATTTATTCTGTTTAACAAACTATATTGCTTAGCTTCCTCTTTCTCCTTCTCATCCCTCCTTTTAATTCCTTCTCATTACTGAAACAGTCCATAAGCTTTAAATTAGTTTTCACTAGACCAATGAGATTTCAAAGCCCACATTGCTGATCTGCTCTAAACTCTCTTCCATTCGAAATTAAACTATGCCATAAAAAGAGAAAATGATTCCCAGATTAAACATTTTAAATCTAGATGAGCACAGATCCACAGCTATACGTTACTATAAAGTCTTTCAACACTAGTCACCTTGCAGCCAAAATAATTTTCAGAATGGATAATTGTGTATATGTACGGATTAGGACTTTCACAATGCTAGGCAATCGATACTTTCAAGGCCTTTTGTAATATATAACTTAAGTCTGATAAAATTAATCATAGTTATGGAGCTGATAGAAATTGTTACTTCCAGTGCAATCCTATGTACATTCTTTTGGAAATAAAACCCAAAGACATATGCAAAGGATTATGGCCTGAGGATCTGAAAAAGTTTCATCACGGAACAGCATGAGTTTTCTTGAAATCAAAATTCAATTATGAAACTAGCAAGTAGCGCAATAGAGGTGATTCAGAATGTACAGAAGTAAATACAAAACCCCACTTTTCAAATCTTTAAAGCTGCCGTATCTTTTTCCAGCTTGCTGGCTTTTTCAGAAGCTGCTCCCAGCTGTCTCTGTAGGCATGTGCGCACACAGTGACAGAGACTGCCAGTCAGACACCCAGGACTCAGGAAGACCTTCCAACACTAAATAGAATTTAGCAAACCCTATGAAGACAAATCCAAAATAAATCTGTAGGTGTGTTGCAGACTAGACCAAAAACACTGGAAAATAATATGTTGAAGCTAGTACAGTAATATTCCTAATTGCATGTTTGCTCTGCTAGTTGTTATTCTTACTTAAAATTGTAACTTTAAACTGACAATCTAAAGTTCACATATGGGATACTCCCATGCTTTCCATCAATTACAATTTAATGCTAAATATTTACAGTATAAGGTAAGCCAGATCTTTATTGAACCATATTTATGAATGAGCAAAAATTTAATTAATATGTGCATTAAATGGACTAATGTAAATGAATGGAATCTCAGATTAGTTATGTGATAAATATTTATAACTAACCATATAAAAATTGTATATCATCCTCCAATTCTGAGGAAACTATATGTATAATCATATGAAATACATCCTGAAAATAATCTCTTTCTACATTACATTTAAATTTAATTTTTGTATGCTTTGATAAAGTCATCTATTACCAGTTTAATTCCAATTAAATCCATAATTTTATTACACTTAAGAAATGGACATACAGTAAAATGTAATTTCCAGATAATATTATTCAAAAGCTACTAAATCTCTACAAAAGGCTGAAGTAAAAAATATTCAGAATTAGATGAGTAATTGAGCAGCGTTACTGAATTGCCACTGAAATAGCAATGGCATAATAATGAAGATACAGTATCATTTTCTTACATTCCAGTCTATACAATTTAAAATAATCATTAATAATCTTGGTTACTGTATTATACATATTTCATAAAATGTAAACTTTGACTGAAGTGCTTTAAATATAGTACAATACATAAATGCTAAATGGTAGGATTATTTAATACATTTGGAACAACTCCCTTTGACGTGAATGTGACTAACTAATGCAATAAGATTAGGACTACAGCCTTTAAAGTTTTCTAACTATAGTATAGTTTTCAGTCAAAATCAAGATATCCTTGATACCTTATCTTCCATTTTAAAAGTGTTCTGCATTAAGAATTAACATATTTTTAACATCTCTGCTGTAGTCTTTCATTTTATCTTCTACATCCTGTCCTATATTTCCTTATCCAGTCACCAGTGACAAGGTACAAATAAAAGAAAACATACTTAGTATCTTCAAATCTTTCCAGGCTCCATTTATTACAAGAAAGCACTTATTTTTTCCACCTTTTTAGTCTAAATAATAGTGAAGCACAAACGAATCCTGTATAAATGGAATATATTAAGTAACTATTGTGCAGTAGTTCAACACCAAAATTGTTATATATTTTTCAAGATTGTTCGTCAGGTCAGGCAAATTACAAAAACTGAACTTCTGTCACCTATAGTTCCACATCAAAAACAGTAAGCATTTTTGAATGTGTTATTTTCCATAAAAATATCTACATATAAAGTAAATATGTATCGAAAGTAGATTTGTATAAAAATAATTACAATGGTTAAAAAATAAACTGTCAGTTCTGCTTCCCCTCCAACTCTGCCATAATAAATACTTACAAATCTGAAATAATGGACAATTATATCTGTGAAACTTTATAATTTTCAAGGACCAAGTTATGCTGAATGCAAGTCCTGAAAGAATTCAAAACTGCATAGGAAATTTATTCGGCTATGCTTAACATTTCAAAAGTAAATTCTAACATTTGCATTAATCCTAACATTTATTTTAATTCATCAATTGATAAAGATTTGTTTAAAGATCTCTCCACAGTGAATTGATTTAGTATGTATTATGAATCCTAAACTCAAAGGGGAACATACCATAAAGGTAATTCTAAATTAAATCTAAACATATCATTACCTAAATATGTTGTCCAAAATACTGCTTTATATGAACATCTCTATGCACTTCGCAGATATATTACAGCATTTACAAAAGTTTTATATTCTTACTACTAAATGCATCTTATGATTTATTATTGTATTTTATGATTATGATCATGATTTATCACTTGTTGCTTATATGTACACTGAGAGTTTATGCACCAGAGACAAATTCCTTGTGTGCCCAATCACACTTGGCCAATAAAGAATTCTATTCTATTATATAAATGAAGGTGCTGCTGCAGACAGCGAGAAAGGGCCCTTTCATAGATTTTTGTGGACACTCCAGTTGTGTTTGGTACTCTCTATCAACTGACAATCAGCAACAGTCATAGGCTACTTCAGAGGGAAAGATGGAAAACAGAAGTACTTCCCTCTGCTTTACTGAGACCATCTTATCAGACATCACCTGTCCAAAATGTTTCTGTTCAAACCTGTCATGAAAACATAATGCCCAAATAAGTGCCTAAGTTTCCTTCTTTTTTTTTCATTGTTTGTTCTTGCTTATATGCAAGTTAACTTGGAGGTTGTGTGGCAGAAATGTTGTAAGAGTGAACAAAAGTTATGCCAAGCCTAAGTTATTATCTTATTCACTGATTTTTTCATCATGTATGTATGGATCTACAATGCACGTCTGGCACTAAAAAACATGGAAAAAGAAAATAATTTAGCAACTGCAGAAAAACTTGAATTACTATGTTAATAATAACATATGTTAATAGCACTTTATTTTTCAGCAGTATTGACCCTAAGTGCCTGGTTAGTGCAGTAATTTTGAAAAAAAAATGTTTTGTTGTTTTCCACATGCTCTGCCACTTGGAAAAGTATGTACAAACATATTAAATAAAACAATAAAAGTTATTTCATTATGCTGGAACAACACATTTACTTCGCAATGTATAACAGATTACAGTCAACATATGTAGTTATTACCATATTAATATTGATGTAACTGATACCAAGTTCAATGTCTTCAGTATAATTATACCCTTCTGTACAGTGTCTATGTATATGTACAATGCTTATGTGTGGGCATGTATGGAGTGGGCAGTATATTAAAAATAATTAATATAAATGAAAACACATACAATAAGTTTTAATGGCAACTATGCTGCAATATTATCAACCCAAAAATGTTCTTAAATATTACAAAAAAG